AATTCCTTGCCCAATGCCCCTGTTGTTTGCAATTAAAACACGCCCCGTAGGGGACAAAATTATCGGTCATCCTAACTAACCGATCACACGTCTAGACTAAGCAAATCAGTCTCCCACTTTACCAAAAGCAGATTAACACCTTGGATATGCACGCGTAGGAGACGTGAGTCATAGGTTACCTTAACTCGCCCAGATCGGAGTCGTAGACGTGAAGCCTTCGTCGCTGTAGACTACTTGTTGTCGAATAAATAGACGTGAGGCCTTCGTCGTTGTAGACCATTCGTTGCCGGAGAAGGTGCACGAAAGCAGATCTTGTGATGATCTTCGAAAAAAAGCGAATCCACCACACCCCGATCCACACAGTGGTTAACGCGCTATCAGGAGTCGATTAGAACCGCACTTTTCAGCGCAGTGCCGGGAGCAACCCCAGCGATTCGACGTTGCCGACTTGCAAAAAACCCACTCAGAGATGCAGTTCACTTCTACGTCATAGCCTTATTACATGTTTCAGACAGCATCAAGAGAGAGAGAGAGAGAGAGAGAGAGAGAGAGAGAGAGAGAGAGAGAGAGAGAAAAAAACAGAGAGGAGAGAGAGAGAAAGGAAGAGAGAGAGAGAGCGAGAAAGAGAGAGAGAGAGAGAGAGAGGGAGGGAGAGAGAGAGAGAGAGAGAGAGAGAGAGGGAAACACAGAGCGAAGTAGAAAAGCGGCGCGATGATGAAACAGCGCTTCAAGCTTTCATTCGAAAAATAGTGGTAGATATGAAAGCGACCGACGTTCTCTCGACCGGTTTCGACCTCATCGTCGTACTGAGGTCATCGTCAGGGGATGATGAAGTGCACTGTTCCTCATCGCCTAAAACTACTTAAAATATTGTTTAAGCCCTACCTTACTCTCCTTTCTTTCGCCTGCCGAACCATCCCGCTCTTCGTGAAAAACTCTGCGTGAGGGCTTCCAACTGTGATCAGGGGGGGTCATACTGGAGGTCAGGGAGGAAGGAAGGAAGGTGGGAAAGGTGATGGCGGGAACGACAGCAGAGGTAGGGTCGTGATTTTTTGAAAAGGGAAAAACGAATCAGAGATCAGGGAGAGAAGTGGGAAAGTTGGTGGCGGGAGGGGCAGCAGAAGTCCCGTCTTGGACAAAGGGCCACGTGGAAGACACTTTTCCAGAAATTGGGCGGGAGGTTTTTAGGGGCATGCCGCGGTTTCGCAGAAAAAGGGCAGAAGGATGGATAAGGACGAAAANAGGTTTTTAGGGGCATGCCGCGGTTTCGCAGAAAAAGGGCAGAAGGATGGATAAGGACGAAAACGTGGGTCAGGGGGACGCTGAGAGAACAGATGTTGTGGAGAAAGGTGGCAGGGGTGCTGACGTCGTTGAGAGAGAGAGAGAGAGAGAGAGGGAGAGAGAGAGAGAGAGTGAGGTGTCCTAGGAGATATGAGCCCAGGAAAGCTGGGAAATATCCTGCGCTGGGGAGATCATTCTGTCCGTGTCTGGGATAAACAAGACAAAGTGGTGAACTGGCGTGGGAAACTGAAAACGTGAAGAATTGAGGCGCGGGAAACGAAGGTGTTGTAGGGGCATGCCGAGGATTTGCAGAAACGGGCGGAAGGATGAATGAGGACGAAAACGTAGGCCAAGGGGGCGCTGAGAAAACAGATGCTGGCG